CCCGCCCTCCATTGTTTTGTACGGCGTGGCAGCACACCCGGGCTATATGGTAACATGATCATCAAGTTGTAGCATTGAGTGAATCAACAAACTAAACAAGATGTAGAGCAGACAAGAAGAAAAACTTGGGATCACCATGGTTGACGCACCTGGTGGCCACCTTAATTATTTTCCACCCGTGCGATCACCATGATGGGGCAGCGACTCCACATTGTGTTCATGGATCTCACGTGCAAGCTGCAGGGCGCGAGGCGCATTTGCTCATGAACCAAGAATGCGCCGTCGCTCTTTTCGAATGGCTTGCAGCTTACGTCGCCGCCATCACAATGCTCTGCACTCTGTTCATGATGTTACACCAGCTACTCCGAGCCACTTGTTCTCTTGCCACTCACCAGGAGTTGTGAGATTTGTGTACTATAGTGTGTCTATGTTGTGTACTATAGTGCTTGTGGCCGTCAAACGGCTAAGCCCTCATTTTTCATAAGTTGGTTCAATGGTGGGGTGGGGGCATTGGCCCCTTCATCTTAACACATAGCTCTGCCTCAATGATAATTACTCTATTGTCTCTGCATGGATTCATGAATTTAGCGGGCCCACCCGTTTAGCTCCACCACTCTATACCAATTTTGTTGGTTACACCATGGACATGCACTGTTTTGAGCTGGATATCGTTACACTATAAACATTTTAAAAAAGGACCTTAAGAATATTAAATTGTTTGAACTAAAACTATTTTTTATAGCGTTTGTAAACATTTTTAAAAATGACCTTAAGCTCATTCTACGCCAAGGGGCGGGCATAGAAACCGGGCATGATCTCCATTACTATTAATTAATTGACGGAATTAATATTTTTTTGTTTCTTTTTGAAATGTTTGGATTGCTTACCACAAATGTCACGTGGTAGCAATTTTTTTTTTGCCGCGGTGAACCGAAAAGAGGAAAAACCGGGAGCAACTAGTTAACGAGCGCTCCTTCGGGAGCCTCGCAACGATCAGTGCCACTTGGCGCGCTCTCAGCCATTTGCCATGTGTCGCGCTCTGGACGCTCCCTTCGGATTTTGTTTTTTATTTTTCCGCACGTGTTTTCGGCTTTTTAATTGTTTTTTTTCCGGTTTTTTCGACGTTTTTGTTTCCCCCCGGTCTTTCTTAGCTTCTCGATCAAATTTTTTTTTTGAAAATTTCTTTTGTGCAAAAAATTGCGGTTTCTTTTTTTTCCTTTCGCGAAAGTCACGATTTTTCTTCCGCGAGAGGCACGGTTGTGCTTTAGCGAGAGTCACGGCCGTGCCTTTCGGAAACGAAAAAAAACGCATTTTCTGTTTTTTTTTTCTTTCGCGAGAGTCACGGTTTTGCTTCCGCGAGAGGCACGGTTGTGCTTTCGCGAGAGTCACGGCCGTGCCTCTCGGAAAGGGAAAAACAAAACACGTTTTCTGTTTTTTTTTTCTTTCGGGAGAGTCACGGTTTTGCTTCCGCGAGAGGCACGGTTGTGCTTTCACGAAAGTCACGGCCGTGCCTCTCGGAAAGGAAAAAAAATACGCGTTTTCTGTTTTTTCCCTTCCACGAGAGTCATGGTTTTGCTTTCACGAGAGGCACGGTTGTGCTTTCGCGAGAGTCACGGCCTTGCCTCTATCGGAAAGGAAAAAAAACCATGTTCTCGGTTCAGTTTTTTTGCCCGGTTTTTTTCGTGGAAAAAAGTTCGTCAAAACCTATCAACATGAGGTCTAGTTTTGAAGATCTCGACATGAGGAATCCAACGGTGAAAACGGTTCAAGATTCGGACGCACGGTTTAAGAGATAAAACGTTTTGAATAAACGGATCTACGAAAAAAGGGAAAACTCCCGGGTTGCGACAAGTGGCGCACTGCATGTGCGCCACTTATCGCGACATGGGAAAGTGGAGTGCTCTTTGCAACGAGTACTTCTTAATTAGTGATTTCGGGAAAAACCGAAGTAGTGTTATAATGTTTAGAGGGGCCAATGATTTGCTAAAGGCCCAAGGTTGGAAGGCCCACTATCACATCACATAGTGGGCTGGGCGTGTTATGTGCTGAAGTTCTGCCTGCAGTCCTACCCTAGCTCCCCACCAGAGCACACCCGAGCGGACCGCCGCCGCCGCCGCCGCCGCCGCCGCAACAAGAGCCGACGCTAGCTCGCCGCCGTCCGCCTCCTTCCCTCTGGGCAGCCAGCACCGCAGCAGTGTTGAGTCCAGCACCAGAACCAGAACCTTCCCTCTGTCGGTGGGCTGCGGCGCCGTCCGTCCGTTGAGGAGGGCAAGAATGAAGGGCGGTAGGAAGAACCTGCGGCGCGCGTGCGAGGAGGGCACCGCGGTGACGCTGGCGGAGGGCGAGAGCATCATGCAGGTCGTCACGCTGCGCGGCTCCAACCTCATCGAGGTACCTACCCTCTCTCCCTCCCTCTCTTCAAAATTGCTTCTTGCTCACTCTGCCTTCCTGCTGCCGCCGTGCTGGTGCTGGTTTTAGGTGACGGACGGCGAGGGCGTCAAGTCTCTCGCCCTCTTCCCCGCCAAGTTCCAGAAGAGCTTCTGGATCAAGAACGGTCAGTCATTTATTTAGTACCAAAAAATGGCTTGGCTTTTATATATACTTCACCACGCTAAGAAAACTAGCTCTGATCAAGAATGGTGAATGAATGAATGAATGTGCAGGGAATTTCGTGGTTGTTGATGCTAGTGGGAGGGACGAGGCTCTCGAATCTGGAAGCAAGATAGCCTGTGTCGTGTCACGGGTCCTCTTTCATGATCAAGTTCGTGCGCTCGAGAAATCTGGCAAATGGTGAGTTTGTTGCTCAATTCCCCTCTGCTCTGCTGCTCCCTCTCCCTGAATGAATATTTACTGCACTACTTTACTTGACAAAGTAAACATTACGTAGTTACTACTTACTTGGAGTGGATTTACGTCCCCTAAATGCAAGTATGCAAATTCTAGGATAAGTTTGTACTCTACTGGAGACCAATGCCCAATTCACCACTAGGCACAAGTCATCTGTGGACATAATTGCTCTGCAACTTTGGGTTAGTTAAAATTAACCTGCCTTGGGTCATGACATCAGCCACCCACAGCACTTGTTTGTGTCATGTGAAACAGACCGAATGATTTGCTTGCTTGATCAAGTAAAATTTAGCAGGATACTTCATACAAGTACTGTACTACCTTAAATAATTGGCACTGGTTTCTCCCTAAAACTTATACTCTAATTAGCAGTTTAGCACTGGTCTTCTAATATGGTTTTGTGCTTCACATCCATTCTGACGAGTGTCCCGATATGTGCAATGGTCTTCTTACCAACTGAAGAAGACTTCCTTTTGTTGCATTGCAACACAAGGTATAACAATACACCCTCCTAGTCCTAGCAATATATCTAAATTTCTTGTGTTTATGATACCTGTTATCCACCAAGCTGCAGTATAGGCTTGTATGTAGTGTGTTCTATCACCCAGGCCAAGATGTACAATAATTTTCCAATTCTAGGCACAACTCAAGACTTCCTTTTGTCGCGATAGAATTTGTAAGAATACACCCTCCTAGTCCTGGCAATATGTCTAAATTTCTTGTGTTTATGATAGCTGTCTGTTACTCCCTCCGTCCCATAATATAACATCATTTTGCAAGCTATGTTAGGTTGCAAAATGGTCTTATGTTATATTTAACTATATGTCTGCTGTGGTTGCTTGTAATCTGATATATGACCTACTTCCCAGTTTGTGCTAGTTTGTCTGGCTGTTTTAGTAATAGTACCTCTGTCCCATATTAACTGACGCTCAAACAAATGTATCTAGACGTATTTGTATCAAATTCACTTTCCATGTGATATGCTGGTAGGTGGTAGCCAGTGCTGTATTTCAACAACCTAAATGGTGTGGTAAAAACAAAATTTGGGCAAACAGCCTAAATGGTTTGATTCTGGTTTTGCCTGCTCTGATGGAACATGGAAATGGTACCGAGCACTGATACTATATGAAAATGTTGATGTGATATAAGTTGATGGCAAAATTCTAATACTTCATTGTACTAAATAAGCGACAATTAATGTGGATCGGAGGGAGTAATGAAGATCCTAAAATATTTCCAGATGGTCTTGTAATAATAATGTGCCAGTTTGTTGGTTTTCGTACGAGCTCTGCATCAGTAGTCTATCTACTTGATAAAATCAGGATTGTTAGCTTGTTACTGATTCACTCATCTTTCTTATGCCAGGCCGGCTATCTTCAAGTCAACTCCCAATGGGTGGGCGACAGGGCCACAAGGAACGACATCACAGGCTGAGGAAGAGCAGAACTCTGATGAAGACGACTCTGATGATATGCCGCCACTTGAGGCAAACACGAACAGAAATAGACCGTTTGACGTGCATTCCGATACAGAAAGTGACTCTGATTCTTGAACTGGTAGACAACTTGGGAATAGTCATCATCCTATGGTTACCGTCCACCTGTACACCTAATGTATTTATGCTTGTCGAATTTGGGCATGCCATCATAAACTTACGGCCCAATCTGTCAAAGATATAGTAGTCAGTGCGTTTTGTCGACATTAAGTGGCAGGGCATGTGGAGGCCTGTCACCTCTAGTGTAATATGAAGAAAACAAGAATGTTGCACCTAGCTTATTGTGGTTGTGGATGTTATTGTGCAAGTCTGCTTGCTTTCCACCTTGAAAGTGGATTGAAAAGGACCCAGCAAGCTAGCTTTGCTTTGCCCTGCCTAGTTAATTCCAGTTGTACTAGGTCTCAAGATGGTGCCACAGCTGCACAAGAAACAAATTCACCGATTTTGACAATTCAAGTCACACAAATTGATATGATTTACTCCTACTGATGAACAACTCTTGCCATATGAGAGGAGAGCCTCAACAAGTTAAGCTACCTACCCTTAGGAGCATTATATATATATATATATATATATATATATATATATATATATATATATATATATATATATATATATATATTATAGGTGCTCTGCATTTTGCTAATAGTTTAAGTATGGGTTCATTCTCTTGTCGGTGCATTGTTAATGTGTTTGTTACTTATTAAATCTTTAATATTGTGCTTTGACTTGGGTAGAAAGTAGTAGTGATGATATTATAAATTGGCAGACATTCCTTTGAATACTTGTTTTCCAGTTGCCCAACTCCTCTCTGAATATGGTTTTAATCACCATTAAGCAATGTTATCCTGTGCAGAAGGTGATGGAGGAAGGGGGCCGTGGCCGTGGACCTCCTCCTCGAGAGTAGATTGGCTGGCCCGTCGACTATTGAATGGGACAAGTCTCATCTTTGCTAGATTAATTAATGCCTGTTGTAACTTTATCTGGTTAGGTTTATGTTCAAAGTTGATAAGAGTGACTCGGTGTGGGGGGATGAGGCTAGTTACAGTATGATTTTGTAGCTAGGTTAATTCTTGCATTTGCTTTTATATACCAGACCTGGGTATCATATCATTCCAACTGTGTGGCATCCTGAATGTGTTTATCATCAAATCTAGCTTTGTTTCTGATTTAGTATCCTGAGGATGCATGCATGGTAGCTGGAATCAATCAAATTAAATTGCCTGGCGTGCTGGTGATTTAAAGTAATATTCCTCCTCTGGCATGGCTTGATCAAGATTTGTGGGCACATGAAAACATACTAGAAAATAAATAGATACCAAGGATTTGTTTGCTCTGCCTACCATTGTGGTTGAGAAATACAGTAAGTTGTTGGTGGCTTGTGGACGCTAGCTGCCTGACATATATGCTTTGATGTGCTCAAGCCAAACCGGGTATGCTTGATGTGCTCAAGCCAAACCAAGTTCCTGATGCTTGATGCTTCCTTGGGGCCAGCTATGCTATGGTGTTGGTGGACGCCTCCCTCTGCTATCTTAACTTTTCTCCCAGAATTGGACGGACCTCTTCTCCTAGGATGATTTGCGAGTAGCCAGCTTTTCTTCTGATACTTTTTTTGATGACTTAATTAATTAATTAGGAAGATCGATGCCTCACAAGTGCAGAACAAAGAAGCTGACAAGAGGTTTCAAGGCTCATTTCATGGATTTAAATTTCTGAATTGTTCAAGATGATTTTGTATTTTTGGCTATTAATCTGCATGTGTTTAGAATACTGTTTAATTTCTATTCACTTCATTCGCTGCTACTCAATACTATAAAATAATAACTGGACCATAACACTTGTACTTGAGTTCCCTCCACATTTTCTCATCCGGGCCGGCTTGAGACCGGCACAGTGTTAAACTGCAACAGTACAAAACACGAATTACAAACGCACAGCCACACTCACCAAGGCATTGTTTTTTTTTTGAAATGCTCACCTGAATATATTTCAAAAGTGGCAGTAAACACCAAGGCAATATTCACACACACACACACACACACACACACACACACACTCACACAGTGGCATACAACAATAATATTCACACACACACACACACACACACTCACACAGTGGCATACAACAATAATATTCACACACACACACACAATGGCACAAAACAACAAACAATAAATTGTTAGCAGGACCTAAGTAAACAAAATCTAGACCCTCAAGGTCTCGAAAATACTCTAGGAAGCTAGAGCCTGATTATCTTCATCACTCGGTACAGAAAAAGATTCTGCTGTTTTAGCCATTAATAAATATATGTGAAATATGGAACATAACGACATGAACGGATACCTCGTGTCCTAAAAATCCAGGATGCATGTAAGAAAAATGCAATCGGCAGGTGTTTAACTAGCGAGCTATCAATTAAATTACAAGTTCCCCAGCAAACAAAGAATATTAACTCAAGATTCTGTAATCGTGATCAAATTAGTCAGAAGACCGCAAGATGTATTGAAAGATGCTTTGTAAGTACAATATAAAATAAACTGGCATATGTACAAAGCATTGATATATAGTGATCAAAGTAGCATCCAGGATGACCTAAGTAGAAACATAACTTGTAAGTGTAGAATCAGCAGGAGTCATTCAAATTAGCCTTGCTGGCTATCAATCAAAACAAAACTAGCAAGTTCCCCATCAACCCGAGCAGATGCAACTCAAGATTCCATGATACAAATTCCACTGAATAAGAGACTGAAAAATCAATTCCATAAGCAACAAACTAGAATCATATTTATTGAAGATGACACTAATCGAAGAAATGACAAGAGTAGAATGTTCAAGAAGCACCAATGAGAAGAACATTCCCTTCTGAGAAATCAATTCCATAAGCAACAAACCAGAATCATGCATGACACTAACCGGAGACATGCAAAAGGTAGATTCAAAAAACCACGAATTATGGCGCATAGGTTACCTGGTACAATTTTGCGCTCAAAAGCAAAAGCAGACAACAGCGACAATGTCTGTCAAAATAAAATCATCTCAAACTTAATTTCACCCACTAGTACAATATATGAATCAAAAGCAGTTGTAAATTCTAGCTAATTGGTGTCATCGATGGCAACTGATGGTGCAGCTGCAAGAGTTTTCCAACAATTCAGCTGGTGCTACTAGTTGTTGCTTTGTGCAAGTGTTGTTTCCTGTCTAGTTGCTTTTCACCTTGTGGATCCAAAAGAACCCATCAAGCCAGCTTTGCTTTGCTTTGCCCTAGTTTAATTGCAATTATGTGGTGGTATGGAGGAGATTCAGTAAAATTTGATTTGTTTGGAATAAATATGCTGCTTACCAATTTTTTCCAGACATGTTTGACTTGATCATACTGTATATGTTAATTTATTTGTTGAGATTTCAAATCTAATCATTCAACATTATAACCCACCTCTGTCCATCACATATAGTATCTGCCATTTGAACAGCTAGCCATTTAAATTTAAACTTAAAAACCTGGCTCTGGCTTGTTCGTGGCGATCTCATGCATGTAACCAGTATCTACCAATCCAATGCCATATATGAGAGAAGAGAAAAACAAATAAAGCTGTCTTAATTTTACCTGAACAGAAAAACTAGTGTTAATGCTGCCAAGGAGGAAGTAGGATCAGTTTCAGGAAACATGCCGATCACTACTACTACTATATGTATGCATGCATCCTACTACTATATATGTCAGGATTTTTAGTTGCTTACAATGGCGAAGTGATGAATCTACATAGGAACACGACGTGATGCATCATGCATCCCTTTCCAATACATACAAGCAAAGCACGCTCAACTCGCAGATTAGCAGTGCAAGGCTGTGGGGATGACCACCAAAGCCACGAGACCGACATGAAAGGAGGCAAGTGATAACAGACCACAACAGAGCGAAAATGACCAATGCTCAAAAGGACACAAGTGATGGTTTTAATTAAATTGCAGATAGGCAACAAGACAAAAAAACACATTGGTAGCAATTATGGATCTCCTTTGATCATACAAAAGTGAGAATTAAGTTCACAACTAAGACTAGCGATACAAGAGATGGCATTTGTCGCCGCAAACTCAGCCACCACCATCTTACTCTGCCTCAGCTTCACCACTCTTCTTATTGTCCCTCAGAACTGCATCCCTGCATGGAGTAGATTGTCAATGTCAACGAAGTGCTCTGGGATACGTGCCTGGAAATCCGCTATGGTCATGCAGCCTGATAGAACCTGTTCTGGCAGACCATATAAGAGTGTGCTGAGATTTCCAACTTGCGTTGCGAGCACTCCAGCCCTAAATCTGATCTCGGTCTTAGCACGTCTTAGCTCACCCGCTTGGTACTTAATCTGAGCAAGCGTGTGGAGAACGCTATTAGGCCCCTGTAAGGCGGCATGTGGATTCACAGCGGGCTGTAGGCCTTCGAGATCGCCGCGGAGGCGTTGGACAGAAAGAGCCAACCAGCTAAGTCCTTCCAGAATGATTAACTTTTCACATGTCCACAACCTTGCTCTCACTAGGGAGTTCGTATGCAGTAAGAGCAAACGCCGCACCTTGACACGTCTCCGTCGTATCTACTTTTCCAAACACTTTTGCCCTTGTTTTGGACTCTAACTTGCATGATTTGAATGGAACTAACCCGGACTAACGCTGTTTTCAGCAGAATTGCCATTGTGTTATTTATGTGCAGATACAAACGTTCTCGGAATGACCTGAAACTCCACAGAACTTATTTTTGGAAAATGAGAGAAATACTGGCGAAAGAATCAAGGCCAGGGGGCCCACACCCTGTCCACGAGGGTGGGGGGCGCGCCCCCCTGCCTCGTGGGCCCCGTGGTGCTCCACCGACCTCAACTCCAACTCCATATATTCGTGTTCGGGGAGAAAAAAAACAGAGAGAAGGATTCATCGCGTTTTACGATATAGAACCGCCGCCAAGCCCTAAACTCTCTCAGGAGGGCTGATCTGGAGTCCATTTGGGGCTCCGGAGAGGGGAATCCGTTGCCGTCGTCATCAGCAACCATCCTCCATCACCAATTTCATAA